CAATTAGCGAAAACCCGAAGTCTCTAGGTGTCCCAGGGGCCGAGATCTCGATGGACGGACGGACGGACGGACGGGCGGACGGACAGACGGAAACACGAGCACATAAGCGTTACCTCAACTTCGTTGTGTTACGCTAAAAACCGCTCAGACCTGGATACGATATTTTTAACCAAAATTATACCACAAACTGTAAAACTCATCACCGTGTTATGATTTTGATTAGTTTTCACCTTGAAGTAGTTATCCTAGATAAGTCATATTAGTGACCGTAGTTAGGCAATGCCAAAAGTATATTTTATAAAAAAGCCATTCCTCTACGTCAAAAATCGATATACGCACGGACAAGTTTTCAAGCGGCGTTAGTTATTTCGCAAATTCTAATTAAACGCAACCACTACGGGCTTAATGAATGTCCATTGCGCCAATAACTCGACAAGACGGAGATAATGCAAAAAACCGGACGGACCTCTCTACGATGTCTAGATCAAAAGTTTTTCAATCCGCCCAGCCAGCCAGCCAGCCAGCCGGACAAAGTGAAATGATAAGCTCCTTTTTGTTACCAAAAATGCGCTAAAAAGTAACTATATAATCTCCGAGTAAAAATGCGTTAGGTAATAATTAACCCAAACCTGTAACAGAATGCTAACAAACGGGTTCATTTACATATCAAATGCTTATCAATGTGTGTAAGTTCGAGCCATTAATACCAATTTGTAAGTTGATGCTCCTATTTAACACTTGTTGCACTTTATCGATTCGATCATAACGCCCGACAGTTCGGGCTTTTTTCACTTTATTTCCGTTCCGTAGATTTACATAGCTCCATTGTTTACCAGAAATGTGTTTTTCCACTCAAAACGCTCCAAATGAACATTCAAACACCGTCCAATTTGTACCCATATTTAATTTTCTTTTAAATAAATAAGTCTACAATTTCAAATTTATTTTCTAAATACAGAATGGCCAAGAGTGGCGTGGTTATTATATGGAAAACTAACGGGGATAGATTTCTAACAATTATTCAACACGTCGGCGTCGTTTCAGCCAATTAAGTTTATAAAACTAACAAATTTGACATATTCATTAGCACACTATACAGGGTGGTGCTTTTAAAACTTTCAATTGGCGATATATTTTTTCTATTATTCTATTAAATGGCCAAAACCGTTTTGCAGGCTCGACGAGAAACCAAAATGATTAATGACCACATAATTGCGTTATCGTTAATCGGTTGTTACATTTTTAGAGCGTTTTTAGTATTTCTTGGCACGAAAATTACATTTTTTGAATTTAAAATCACGTTAGCCGAATGAATTAAACATATTTTCATTTGCGGTTCGGAAGCGCAATCTTCAAGTAGAACAGGCGCGGTTTTTAAATTGACAATTGCAGAAACCTTCGCGAGAAACTGCACGATGAGCTCTGAAGGTGCAAAAATTCTACCCTTGTAAGGTGCAGATTGTTCAAGAACTAACCGAAGACAACTATCCTAATCGTAGAATCCAGTCTTGTTAAATAGATTCAAAATAACCCCGAGCTACCGAAAATCGTTTGCTTTACGGATGAATGCACAATTCCTTGGGAATGTGAGCAAACAACTGCCCCGATACTGGGGCGATGAAAATCTTTCTCTTAGTTAAAGACCCCCAAAATTTTTCGTCCGGGCAGGTAATTTACGTGATAAAATTATTGGTCCTCTATTTCACCCAAACATGCGCTACAAAATAGTATCAAATCTCTCATCACAAGTGAGATAAAAAAGCGAATAAATCAAATTGATGGAAAGTAAATTTGGATAAAAATGCGGCTCTTCCTCATTACTTTATACTCGACTTTATAGCTGTGCGTGTTTATAGGTGAGATATTTTCGGGCCGCGTATTCGTAAATAGCAGACGCGTTGTCCCTTCAGAAAGCTCCACAGCATTTTGTACAACTTTGCTTTTCCAAACGATTTGAAAAGACCTTCACCCTACAAATAACCTAATGTCCAACTCCGGGATACATACGTATTTTTGTGAAATAAAATTGAAAAAAAAAAAACTTTTCACGCATAGAATCGAACCCGAGCCGCCCGATTAAAGTCGAGTATCCTTACCACTAGACCATTATGGCGCACATTCAATCGTGATTAAACTGAGTTCGCATGCCGAAATTGTCGTGGGAAAGGATAAATTTTTTCATGTATGTGGATGCGTCTTCCGGGACCGCTATGTTTGGGTCCGTTAACTTGGCCCCCCCACTGAGACATTTCATAGTCGTATTATTTTGAAATGAATGCGCTCGTTATGCGCTCCTATGCGCCATCGATAATAACTCTTGCGCTATTATCGTTTTTTAGAAATCCGAAAAAACATTTGGGGGGGGGGGCAAGTGAACGTAGCCCCCCCCCCAGTACGTATTTTGTCCCTTGTAACTAGGTCACCTGATACATTTGGTTATGCGCTCAATTGCGCCACTTGAATTAAAGCTAGCGCCATTACGGTTAAGCCGAGACAAATTTTCAAAAAGTGGGGGAGCCAACTTAACGTTTTTAAAAGTTACTTTTTTTTAACATCTTTTCATACGAAATTGTACTCTCAGGTATGCGCTGAAATGAGCCGTAAAAAGATATCTTTGCGCCATTATTGTTTTTTGGTTATCCTTAAATATATTTGGGGGGGGGGGGGGGGCACGTGAACGGAATCCCCCATAACGCATTTTGCTACCGGTATTTGTGCAACTTGATACATCTGGTTATGAGCTCAATTGCGCCACTTGAATTAAAGCTAGCGCCATTACGGTTAAGCCATAAAAAAATTTTAAAAAGGGGGTAGCTAACTTAACGTTTTCAAAAGTTACGTTTTTTAACATGTTTTTTTCTACTACATCGTACCTTTCATCATGCGCTAAAATGCGCCGTAAACAAAAATCTTGGCGCCATTATAGTGTTTCAGAAACACTATACAGGGTGTTTTTTTGGGAGCTTTAGTTAAACGATTCTGAGAAAGTAAAATAGGTAGGAATTTTAAAAATTTGTATTTAGGAGTTACTCCGAAGGCCGAATCGATGTCAAATATTTTCAAAATAGACCCACTTCCGGAAATAACTTTTGAAAACGCTAAGTTAGACCCTCCACTTTTTAAAAATTTTTTATGGCTTAACCGTAATGGCGCTAGCTTTAATTCAAGTGGCGCAATTGAGCTCATAACCAGATGTATCAAGTGGCACAAATACCGGTAGCAAAATGCGTTATGGGGGATTTCGTTCACTTGCCCCCCCCCCTCCAATATATTTAAGGATAACCAAAAAACAATAATGGCGCAAAGATATCTTTTTACGGCGCATTTCAGCGCATACCTGAGAGTACAATTTCGTATGAAAAGATGTTAAAAAAAAGTAACTTTTAAAAACGTTAAGTTGGCCCCCCACTTTTTGAAAATCTGTCACGGCTTAACCGTAATGGCGCTAGCTTTAATTCAAGTGGCGCAATTGAGTGCATAACCAAATGTATCAGGTGACTTAGTTACAAGGGACAAAATACGTACTGGGGGGCTACGTTCACTTGGCCCTCCCCAAATGTTTTTTCGGATTTCTAAAAAACGATAATGGCGCAAAAGTTATTATCGGTGGCGCATAGGAGCGCATAACGAGCGCATTCATTTCAAAATAATACGACTATGAAATCTCTCAGTGGGGGGGGGCCAAGTTAACGGACCCGCTATGTTTCAAGCGAGGAGGCTTCATGGTCTCCAGATCTTAAACCAATACATTTCTTTCTTTAGAGTAATTTTGCGAATTGGATTGGTATTGGTATTGGCGAAATTAGCAAAAAGATTTTGGTTTTCGAACAAGCAAGTCTTTTAGCTTGAATCCTAAAATCCGAATTTTAAAACTTAAATGAAGATTGAATATTATCTTGAATGAAATCCTGAACAAATTTAAATAAAAAACTTTTTCAAAGAAGACATTTCGTTTCTATTCATGGTTTCTTAAATCTTGATGATTGAAACTACAATTATACTCGTACTTTAAGTGGCGAATTGAATTTGTTCTTTTAAAAAGGTAGATATTAATAAATAGTATACATTAAACAATAATTCGTATGCTTCCAAATTTATCCCTTCATATCCTTATTATAGGAAACCAAAACTTCATGAAAATATTTAAAATAGTTTCGAAATATCGCCTTGTAGCACTCACCCTCAGATAAATACTTAGGGGCATGGAGGATGAGAAAATTCAAAAATTACCAGGTAATCGTTAAGCCCGTTGAGTTGAAGTTCGGCTGAGGTACTAAGTGTCCCTGGTTCGAATCCGGGTCCGGGCCTGGATATTTGTAAATGTATAATAGGTTGGGTTGATAGAGCACCCCGCCCACTCAAAGATAAAGGGAAAAATAAAATAAAATAAAGGTGGGATGAAATTGAATTTGTGCAAGGTTATTCTATTTTTTTGAAGAAAAATTAGAAATCCTTTTTAATGCCCCATAATTTTATATTTCCAATGTTCCTTCATCCTTCATCAAAGCGTTATAAAGATAAACCTTCTATTAATTTTCTCATTCTCCATGCATCCCGCAATCTTACTACTGAACCGAATAATTTCTTGTATACTGGGGGGAATGGGGGTATAACCCGAAATGGATCGCCATTAAAGACACCATCTTTAACGTTAGTTCACTAATTTACATAATAATAAAAATATGGAGAAATTCATTCGCAAAAGTAAACTTTCATGGTACCATTTAGGAACCGTTTTGATACATCATCAACGGAAACTTATGGCACTGTTACTTTAAACTTTTGACGAATGCAGACAATAGTTTGAATGGTGAACAATCGAAAAAGATCACAGTGTGATGAGTAAACAGAGATGAAACAATAGAACAAATACTAAAAAGAAACCATGTGCGTAAATCGCATTAATAGAGCCAAATTCAAAATGTAATATTTCTATTTGAGAATAATATAGCCAGGTTTAAAATTACACCAAAACGTATCATAGTTGGTTAAAATCTTACCAGACCAGACCATCCAATTAGGTAAACCGCAACCGTATTGACTCGACTCACCTGAAAAAAAACAAGAATTAATTAACTACCCAACTTAAACATTTACTTATTACAATTTATTTAATTGATTGAGGTTTAGTTGATTTCAATTAGAGTTTGTGCACTTTAAAAGCATTAAATGCAAAGAATATTCATGTACTAAGATAGAAAGTGCTAATTTGTTTCGATTTATTACACCATTTGCATCATATATTGGTAATATTGCTAGAAATTAGCATAGCATATTAAATAACAACTTTAAACAAAAGATTGGGGTCGAAGAGAATTTATCTTGTAAAAGGTTAAATATTGCGCGAAACAAACTTTTAGGGATGGGCCGTCATTTTCTATTCATCACACTTTAAACCTATAACCAAAGACTGTATGCTTTCCATAACCTTTGCTATAACTGCCCTTCGCATTTTTTCTTCATTTTACTGGAGCCTTTATTTAATATTTCGTATTTTGCAACTGGCAGTAATTTATTGACTTTATCAGTTCTTAACTTTTAAAGCATTTTCGAACGAAGTTGGGTGCGCTATTGAGTCCACTTTCTCTGTCCGTCCGCCCGTTTGTCTGTCCGTCTCGAGGTTTTAACTACTCCTACAGCTTTCAATATATTTAGTTCGTCCTTTTTGAATTCGGTAGCTTATAGCTCTGGCACCTGAGCGAAAAAAAAATCCTGACCATTAATGTGCGCATGCGCAATATCAACTTTCTTAATTATTAAAATATAAGAAAAAGTCAATAGCTATTCCCTCTTGGGAAGTACTGATCAATGCATGGAAAATGCGCTGAGCGTTTTTTTTTTGCTCGTGAGCGCTTTTAACCGCCCTCAAGCGCTGATGAAGGATTAAGCGCCGCTCGAGAGTGTTTTTTTCCGCTCACAAGCACTTTTCCCGAGCGCTCGCGTACTTTTAAGTGCTCGATGCGAGCGGTTTTTTTTAGAACGCTCAGCCCAGCTCTGATTAGGTCCTAATCGTAGCCGGGCACTCTGCCTTTGGATGGCTCTTACGCGGGATGTAATTCAACAACTTCATTTAGAGAAAGGTCTAAAAGCACTTCTTTTAACGCATGTAAAAACTGAACTGAACTGGCATACTGACTATACCACCCTTTGTCAATTGAGCGATCAACCCTTCACAAATCTTATTTTATAGTATATTAAGTATGGAGAACGGTAAGGGATTTTTACCGTTCGAAGACAATTGTTTGGAGGAGGAGCGAAGCGACGACTCCAATTATTGTCTGAGAACGGTAACCCTTAACGTTCGACGTGCTTATAACATTTTTTGCGCGATCGAAATTAAAATTATGCAACCAATATAAATATGCACTAAGAAATTAACGAGCAGAATAAATCGAAATGATCGAAGTGGTATGGTGTACATCACTAGGTAACCAGTTTATTTGTCAAAATTGAATTAATAATTTCATAAAAATGTGCATGTGTCTGATGTAGTTTACTAGCTTTGCACTTCCTTTATGACTTTATGAGCGTCTTGCCATAGGAAACAACAGCACAAATTGTACGTTTAATGTACCTAACAATAATTAAAGATTAAATGTAATGTAAGACTGTTGATTTTTAAAAAGGCGTCGGTAAGTATTTTTGCTGTTCTGTTTTTAGATCGGTAAGTAATTTTGACGTCGTCGTAATCATAGCAACTGGTAAATTCTACGTACTGTCATGGAAACACCCATGGTAAATAGTCAGAAATGACCGATCGCGCAAAAAATATTTTAAAGAGATTTTTATTACGATGTATGAAGGTGGTGCAGATACAATTAACGCCCTCCGGAAATATTTTATCATGGAAATCACAATCCCGATATGATGCCTCCAACTCTTCTGCATATAAATGAGCGTTTTATCAACAAGTACCTATTTGGGTTTCTGCTCATCTCGAAGAAATGAAGGCCCCAGTGACTTTGGGTGAAAGAAACAATAAGAAGCAAGATTATACTGCCACTATGGATAACAATCCCAGAAGTCAGTGCCGCCTGGCGCCTGTCAAGAACTGAAACTGAAATGTGGCTGTAAACGAAATTGCGCTAAAGCATATTTGGCATTATTGTTTATAGCATTGAATAATAATTCAGATTCTTTATTCATTGTTTATAGGTAATAAAACTTCGTTCGTTTAAAGAAATATTCATATTCTATAATAATACTCGTACATATATGTACTTTGTTCATGTTGCATTAGGCTTTTCTTTTAACTTTTATTATCTTTTTAGCGCATTTCCACAAAAATAAAAAAATGCGCTATTGTGGCCACTTTGTCCGTCCGTCCGCTCGTTCGATGAGACGTAGAAATCGTTTATAATTTTTTTTTATTTATAAAAGCGAGTATAAAAGTATTTAAATGAAATTTGATACATAGGCACTTCGAATAAAGGAAAATCTAACGCGTTTCAAAATTTGGTGTTACGCATGCGCAGTGCCAACTTTTTTATTTATGGAAGTATTTAAATGAAATTTGATACATAGGCGCTTGGAATAAAGGAAAATCTAACGCCAGTTTCAAAATTTGGTTTTGTGCATGCGCAATGCTAACTTTTTTATTTATGAAAGCACTGAAATAAAATTCTTCTTATAAATTGAAATTGATGTAGCACGTCAAAAATGAATTGTACCTATGCAACGCTATCTTTCATATTTGTGGCCGGATTTTTACGATTTTAACAGAAGTTGCATCTTACAAGTGGGAAATGAATGCAAGTAGTGGAAATGCGCTTTTTGTAAATCGTTTACGATTACTTTTAGCTTTGGAAATGCTTATGTTTTGTATTAGTATGAATTTCCCAGGTTTGCCGAGTAGAAAAGAAGACAGTGGTGTCGCCGTCTAGTGTAGATTGCACCGTACTCGACTGCAATCGGTAGATTCAGGAAAAGTCGCGGATACTGTCAAGACGGTACTTACTTAACAGTGCGCGCAGGGGTTTTGTTAATTGGTATTGAAAATTCTCGCACATCGCCCGTGATAGTATTACAAGCATGTTACGCCGCTTATTATTCAGAAAGTGCATGTTTGCGACACGAGCGAGCTTGCGAGCGAGTGGAGCAAGATTATTCTGTGTGAAGGGTTTAATTATGACTTTATAGGTTATACGGTTATCATTTCCAATGTCTGCGATGGTTACAAGGATTGCGAAATCTGTTGAATATGCATTCAAATTTTCTACCAAACAAAGTTTATGTGTAAAAGTATCTAAAAACCACTGCGCTAGTAGTAATTCGCAGACTACGTGTAAGGGCTAAGTTTCAAGTAAAAATTTTCATCTTTTTCGACGTGAAGTTATCAACTTAATGATCCATTTTGCATAAAGTGAGTTTATAAATACGAATAAATGAAAGTGATTAAAAATTTAATGAAGAATACGCTTTTAAAAGGGGGAGCGAAAAATTAACTACCGTTCGAAGTCGGTCAAGTCGAAATATATCTTCAGCAATTCGTTCTTGAACTTAAAACTAAATCAATATCGAATTAAAATAGCCGAAAATAAACACACATCAATATTCCAATAAGTGGACAAAGAACGAGTGACGGACAAAATGGGCGAGAGTATAATAGCAAACTATTAATTTTAATTTCATACACTTCTGCCTTAAAGGTATAATTAAGATCGGTTGGAACGCCCACTTTGTCGTATTATATGAAAATTTATACCTTTCGTGACTCAAAGGCTGAAACTTATTTAGCAATATTTAACTTAAAAGTTTTCTACACCTAAATTAATATTGAAAAGCCACACGCAGCTCGGCCCTAATAGATACGTCACAATATTTCTTAGATGCCAAGCGCGAAATTGTAATAAAAATACTTTGACCTGCGAAAAAAAGAACAAATTGCACCCATCGCTCTTCGTAGTACGCTACATGTATCAATATGTCTACTGTGAGGCAATTAAAAAAAATTAATTAGAAAAGTACGATCTTACTAACGATCTGGCAGACCCGGCGGAATTTGGCACGAGCAAACGGTGATGATTGGCGCGTGTTTGGATTATATTTTATTTTATACACGAATAGAAAATACTTGAAAATAATTAACCTACGCCTTGATACCGCTTAACATTATAATACGTACGAGTCATTTAAATAATTTATGCGAGATGCTACGGTCGTTTGATGAAAATGTTTAGACGTGCCGAATTTGTTTTCGCTACAACTTTAACGTTTTATGCCATCGGTTTGGAATAAATTAAATGTGTTTCCAATGTTTGTTTATACCGCAAACCGTGAGTAATTACTTATTTGATTCGAAACATGTTAGTTTACAAATAGTTTAATGGCGTAAATGGACGTCGTATTTCAATTTGCAACAATGTTGCACATCAAGTAAATTAGGCAACTAACATCAATAAAGGTACAATAAAACAGCGAGAAAAACCGTTTGTCTTGCGTGTGGGTTTCGGAAGAGATGCATCAGCAGCGAATTTGGTTGAAGGAAAAATAGAGAATACCAGTGGAAATATACGACATTTTCTTCCATAGAATTAAAATTTAAAAGTTATTACAAAAGCATTTTTAATCTTAATTCCAAGTATAGAACACAAAAATAAGAATTCGATTATTAAAGGGTATCCAGAAATATTAGATAGGTGACTAAACGATCACTTATTTTTGATCGCTATGATCTATCGAAAGAAAATATTATGATCGTTCCACTTCCGGTTTTACCCGATGTGAATATTTTAAATAGAACACCCTGTATTTTAATGCATTTCCATTTTATTGCACATTTCCCTATACTCAGAATCAAAGGTTTTCAAGTTATTCAAGATTTTTCAACATTTTTAACATTGGAGTGCTTTTTTGTGGGCCATACTCTGTTGACTTGGAAGCATCGACTTGATGCTAGATGAGAATGATAATAATAATAACTTCAAACCGAGGGGTTAACCATTAAGAATTGTGACAGTATTGCGCGAAATCGTCGCGCAATTGTACCTAAGGGATTTCGCGCATTTCCAAGAGATTTCGAAGAGATTTCGTGAAATTGTAAGGGGTTTCG